TTCACTCTTTTATTACTAAGATAGATCTAAATGTACAAGTAAATAAATGAGTAAATAATAACTGAAGTGGCATCCAGTATCTATCATGTTCTATCAACCATTTGCATTTTAGAAATACAGACACAAATTTCAAAACGGTTAACATTTGATATTTAAGCTAATCATAATGATGGAGACCATCCTCTGCCTTCTCCACAAACACATAGTATGAGCCATTTTTTTTTTCCAGAGCTGAGATTGTCTGTGGCTGAGCCCTGCAGTGACCTGCTGCCTACTGTTCACCTCTGATGCAAGCACAGTACCTATAGAAGCACACTATGCAACGCAAACAGAGATTAAGTAGGAGATAAATAAGACCTTGGATGTTACAGAAGGATAAATCTTAAATAGAAAAAAATCCAAATTACTAATTCAATTTCTCCTTATTAAAAATTTAATGATGGGCTGGGGATGTGGCTCAAGCGGTAGCGCGCTCGCCTGGCATGCATGCGGCCCGGGTTCGATCCTCAGCACCACATACAAACAAGGATGTTATGTCTGCCGAGAACTAAAAAATAAATATTAAAAATTCTCTCTCTCTCTCTTTAAAAAAAATAAGTCTTTAATGAAATAGCATATTATTAAATATTGAAATTTCCCTTTTTTATTATATTTTCCCCTTTTATTATATGTATATAGTTTATAGTAATATCAAAAGTTAACTCAAACTCAGAGAGTAAGAAGATAAATAATCTTGTTTAAAGTTTTATCATTTGAATTTATTAAATACTGGCAACTAATTGTATTTCAGCAATTCCTGAGCTACCATTTATTTCTGTTAGAAAAATCAAGCACCTCTTGTTTTGAGTAACTTAAATAGTTAGCTTTATTTTGAACTTCTCTTAGTGAAGGAGCTATTTAGATATTTTCTCAATATTCTTCTACACTGTGTTCCTTTCAGTGTGTGATAAAATGAACACAACCAAGGAGAACCTAGGGAGAAAATACAGATCCCTTATCCCTGTGTTACATTTCTTTTCAGAATACTAAAAAGAAATAATTGGCCTGATGTGAAACTGATTAAGTATCTTGCATGATATCATCAGAATTTGGGGAAAAAGAAAATAAAAAAAGAGAGAGAGAGAGAATTTGAATTCATAGCAAGACATTCCGGTAGCTAACTTCTTAATAAAAGGTAGAAGAGAAAGTCAACATTTTAAACTTTGATGCAAAACTGGTGGTTACCAGCATACCTCAGACACCAGGAAAGATAAGAAAAAATCTTAGGTTTCATAATTGATATTTTAAGAAACTATAATATCCCCAAATAATTCTAAGTAGTCATTATGGAAAAAAAAGAAATTGTGGACTGGGGATGTGGCTCAGTGGTTGAGTGCCCCTGAGTCCCCTCAACAAGAAAGAAAGAAAGAAAGAAATCCTGTCTTTATTCCTCCTTACCTATTTTTTAAAAAATAGTTTAGTATTGTCTTCATTTTCGGTTATTTGGGAATGGAGGAGGCAAGGAGTACCATGGGCTTTTCCATTCTTAGCTCTGTTAAAAGTCTTCACGTAACCTTATGTACATTATGTATTCTATCTACCTTAATTTCCCATTAAGTATATCAGTACTCTTTCATCTTGCAAATTTTGAGAATACTGGAGGCGTTCACCCTGTTAGTAGGCATATCAGTTTACATATCTTCTATGACAGATAGTATAAATGATCAAACATTACACTAACTCTTAATAATGAGCTTATTGCTCTCTTCAAGGAGCAAAGTTCACAGGGTGGGAGATGAGGGAATGCATGCACCTGTTTAGGTGCCTTTTCTCATCCGTCCCTGAGTGCACATTTCTCAGCAAAATGGAAGCTAGGAAGACTAAATCCTACTTACAATTTTCTCTAACCACATCATGAAAACCATAATTATATTAGCAAGGATGGTGGAATGTGATGGACATCATTATACAAAGCACATGTATGAAGACTTGGGTGTCAACA